CTGGATCTTGACTATGTTCACCATAAATAAGTGGTAAATATTTGTGGAGATAGAAATATTTGGCCTGATTTAACCAGTTCACAATATATTTGAGTCCAAACACACATAGTACTGCATATAATGAACAATTTTATAACTCTCATTTTCAAAATTACCATGTTGCATTTGTAAGTATATAATAGTATATAATGACCAAATAAGAATTTTTAAGAATGGGAATATTGGTTTAACACGTGAAAATCTTCGGGGGGAGGGGGAGGGTTATTAAGAATGTTTGTTGCTCTTCCAAAAGACCTGAGTTTGGTTTCAGCACCCACATCAAGATGCATACAGCTACCTGTAACTCCATTTCAAGATCTCTGACATCCTCTTGTAGCCTCAGTGGGCACTCACACAAGGAGACACCCAAAAAATATAAAATAGAAACAAATCTTTAACATTTGAAAACTAGCCAAAAGCTTTATCACATTAGAACATCAAACGTGAAAAGCATGTATCACCTCAGTAGATCTATAAAGAGTATTTACCAAAATTGAACATCAATTTCTAGTGAGAAAACTGCCAAGCAACTATAAATAAACTCTCTAAATAGGAGAAAAAAAAGAGACCATCAATAGAAAACCTGCAGAAAGTCTCATATTTAATAGTAGAATTCAGAACAATTTCCCATAAAGCCAGGAAGAAGGAAAGGATGTAACTTATTGTATTTTTGCTAGAAAATCTACCTAGTACATTTCTTAATTAATTTTTAGGTGAAAATATAATTACATCATTTCCTCTTTTCCTCCTTCCAAGGGCCTTGCTCTCCTTCAAATTCATGGCCTCTTTTTTATTAATTATTTACAGGCAGATAAATATTATTTCTAAATGCATAAGTACATTCTGCTTGTCTGTATATTAGTTGTATTTATGTTTTCACAAATGATCACTTACTGTTCAAGAACCAATTGGTATGCTCTTCCCTGTGGAAGACTATTTATCCTGCTCTCAGTATTCCTTGGTTGCTTGCAATACTTTGTCTAGGATTGCAGCCTCCTCATTAGCATGTGTATGGATGTTTTCCTTATTCATCTCATGTTTAGGAAGTAATATCAGTGAGACTTTATGGGTGTATATTCTGGCATTCCTAGGAGATACAATCTCACAGTAAACTCCCTGTTCCACAGGCTCATATAGTCTTTCTATCCACTCTTATGAAATAGCCCATGGACCTTAGGTGTAGGCATCGTATCGTAGATGTGTCAGTTGGGGCTCTGTAACCGCATTTTAATTGGTTATCATTTGCTGTACCAGTATCACTCTTCTGCAAAGAGGAATTACCTTGATGATGGGTAAGGACTATACCGTCCTGTGTGTATAAAGACAAATATTTAGTGTATCCTTGAGGACTGTGCTGTTTTAATAAACTAGCGGTTGCTTGTTCTCCTCCAAGACCCATGATTTCGCCAGCCACAGGTAGTTATCTACCAGTACCAGGTATGATATCCCTCTGTTGAGCAGATCTTAAGGACAACTAGGAAACATTTGATTACTGCCAAAGTATGTATATCACTACTCCACACTCTGGTGATCCTTCCATGTTCATATTGTCTTAGTTCATGGGTGACATAGTTAGGCAGGACTATTGGTTGTTCCCTTCGTTTGGAAGTATCATTGCTCTGAAAGTTAGCCCTCAGGGGGAAAGTCTTCATATCATTTCTAGTCCCGTGGTCTCTGGATCCTGGGTCTGAACTTTATTCTGTCTTCACAAAAGGAACTTTTCTTCTACCTCTGGGGGAAACCAAAAGCAATAACAATAGCCTATTTTCTTGGTGAGTCTCTTGGACAACCCTATCTAACAACTGAAAAGGTATTAAAGTCTGCTAAAGTCAGATTACCAATGTCTCTCTCTGCTTTGACAAGGTTCCAAGGTCCAGGGTAGGATCTGGGACAGGATGCAGAGTCCCCCAATGGCTCAGGCAACAGATCACAAGAGGTGATTAAGAGAAAAAGAAATAGGGGAAGGAGCCTAGGATTCCTTCTCTGGGCCTGGGGACTGGCTAAACTGCTACTAAGGAAGAAAACTTTAACTGGTCACCCTTTTTCCTGAAGCCAGAACCATAAAAGGCTGCTTCTAGCCAAAATTGCAAGGGGTGGTAAAAGAGGCTTTTTGATCTGAGATTAGGTCCTGTGCAGGAGTAGGCCACTGTGGAGGCCTCCACAGGCTAAAATAAACTTTTTCTTGTTCATCTTAGGCTGATAGTTATATCCTGAATCTGCTAACTTGCTTGTGAATCAGTAAGAAAAAGAAGAGTAAGCAAAGACCATTCATGCACATACGTTCAAGGAAAAAGGTGGATGAGGTTAAGAACTTTAACTTCAACAAATTCCCACAAGTGTACATAGAAGATGATGTTGATTTCTGCCAGCATCCCCTCTGCAGAAATTGCAGCAAGTTTAGGCTGCCAGTTCCATAGTTTCAGCCCATACATACATATAGACAAACAATTAAACATATAGACCTGTACATATTTATACACACATTTAATAGACAATACAAAAGGAACCCCTTACATACAGACAGACAATTGACATACAGTCATGTAACATATGTACAAAAACCAGACAGACAGACATATTTATATGTAAACACATACTTATAAACACATTTACAACTCACAGATGAAGCGGATTTCATCAGGCTTCCATTCAATGGGCTTCCACCACCAGGCTACTGCCAACGGGATTCTGCTAATGGGGTTCAGCCAACTTCATTGTATATCATAGCTTTATATCTGAGACAATGCTCTCAGAAAATAAATTACCTCATAATCAAAAGAGTACTTAATCACAGGAAGAGAGGAATTCTAAAATATAACAGGTTACATGTTTTAAGATTAAACATTTCTTATCTATGTATCTGTTACATAAGGTCATAGTGGGTTCTGAGTGACAAAGGCCTAAAGGTTGGCAAAAGTTGACAAGGTCTAAAGGTTAACTGGGTCTAAAAGTAACAAAAGTTAGGACTGACCTGGCTACATATTTTTCAGCTATCTCTAAGTTTATAGTAAGTTAAGAACAATAATATTATCTGTCTTTCATGCTAAGAAACAAAGTAAGTTTAAAATGACAGTATATAATGCCATAAGGTGACAAGGTGTAAGGAATTACAACAGAACAGTTTGTTTATATTTTGACATTCAGGTCTGTATTTAATTAGAAAATTCCTTGGTAGTCCCAATATAATTTGGGTTTATAGGAAGTTTAAACCAACTTGCCTATGTTTATGGTATATATCAAGATTTGTGAGGTCATCTGGAGTGGAGGTTATCTGATGCTACAAATCTGTCTTAAGACTGTCTCCTAGTAAGGCAGTTGGAAGACCACAAAGGAATTTATTGCAGTCATAAACTTATAAAATTGTTTAAGTTCTAAAACAATTTAACTTTTAAAATTGTTTGAATCAAATAAGGAATTAATTCATTTGAACTCCACCATGTCTTCAATAAGATCCCATAGGAAGTTTGTTCAGGCTCAGTGTGTAAATACTCAGAAAGTGACTATTCAGGCCATATCAAATTTGATGGAGATGCAGCAGTGAACAAATGAAAGGGTCGTCAGAGACTGGAAGCAGTTCTGGGGTGCATCACTGTACAGGCCTTCCGAAATACCAGATCCCCTTCCAGAAGGAACACTTGCCTGATGAGCTCCTTAACAGAATGGCCCCTGACAAAAAGGTTTCTCATACCTGGTGTTGGGGTCTTTTATAGATAATTGTTTGGCTCTTAGGGGGAACATCGTCAGCCCAGATGGGAAATTTTCAGTTATTCTCTGAGTTACATGTATTACAGCAATTTTTAGTTGTATAGTTAATGGTGTGATTCCTTATGACTTTTTCAGACATATTTAATGTTATGTTACCCTCCTTGTGCCTTCTTTTATATTTCTTTCCCACACTACTAAAAAGAGAGTCTTTCTTTTTCCAGTTTAGCCTAAAAATCACTTTAGCCCTATTATTTTCCTCTATATTTCTTCCACACCCTCTCCAGCAACAATGTCCATTTCTACTTTCATAGTTTCTGAAGTTGGTCCAGGTTATATACTCATAGCTGAAGATTTCAATCTAGATGCTTCAGCTGAGAGAAAACCTGTGACATTTGGTTCCCTGGGTTTGGGTTACCTCATTAACTATGGTCTTTTCTAGTTCTATTCATTTAACTGAAGATTTCATAATTTCATTTTCTTTACAACTAAATAGTACTCCATAGTGTATATGAACCATATATTCATTATCTACTCATTAGCTGAAGGTCATTTACGTTGGTTTCATTTCTTAGCTCTTGTGAGTCAAGTACCAATAATTATGGCTGAGTATATTCTTGTAAAGTAGGATGTTGAGCCCTTTGGGCATATTCCAAAGAGTGGTTTATCTGAGTAATATCTTAGATTTGTTTTTAGCTTCCTGGGAATTATCCACACTGATTTCTATTGTCACTGTATAAGGAACGCAATGCTTGTTTCAGAATAAGTCAATGGAAAGAGAATGAAAGATAAGATGAATCAAAAACAGAGAAAAGAATACCATCTAATTTTATATGTGCAAATAAAACTCAAGGCATTTAAAGTTGATGACATCTTCAAGAAATAAACTGCCATTTCTCCTGCATATCTATGCATACACACACACATATATATTTAAAGGAACACAAGAAAAAATAATTTCAGAATAAACAGTCATTGTCCACAGATGTACTATATATAGTATATTTTAAGTAATAATGACAACCATAAATTAACTTCACTTTAAAATAGTTATTTTGACATGCTATCGATTTGAATGAAAATAACACGAGCGACATTAAACTGAGACTGCTTTTATTCATTGTCCAAACTGCATGCTCAGTCGTTTGGGATCTTTTAATCTACTCATGAAAGTTCTTCCAGATAGTGTCTCATTTTCTGAAGAATGCACTTCTAGAATACAGTTAAGTTGTTAGCTTATGTTAGGACCTGACTATAGCTCAGGAGATGGAGCTCTTTAATTCTATTTTAATGGTACCTTCTATTTTGAAAGTGGGGAACTGATCATCTTTGTTCCTAGACACTCCCGGTGTTTCCGGTGTTTTACCACCTGTCGAAGTAGCAGGGTCTAATTCTTTGTCTGAGATGCTTGATACCTCGGCATCTTTTGGTAGATCCTTATCTTTAGGGGTTTGTACAGAAGGTGGAAGTGGATCATCAGCAGGCTTCTCTTCCACAGGAAGCTCTTGTGTAGGAACCACATCAGTTTTTGAAGGCTGTTTAACAACTGGAGACTCTTCTGCAGGGGTCTCGGGTGGTGGAGGTTGAACATCAGCAGAAGGTTTTCCAGGGATCTCTTCAGCTGATGTCAATTGGGCTTCTTCTGTAGGAGCCCCCTCGGATGAAGGAGACCCAGCTTCTCTTGCAGGGGCATCTTCCACTGTGACTACTTCAGTAAAGACCTCCTCAGCTGGTAGAGACTGAACTTCAGCTGGTGCCTCTTCTATGGGAGTCTCTTCTGTAGGGCTTGCCTCAGCTGCTGGAAGCTGAGCTTCAGTAAGGGGGTCTTCTGTTGGAGCATCCTCAAATGATGAAGGTTGGGCTTCAACAGTGGTCTCTCCTGCAGGGTATTCTTCAACTTGAAGAGCATAAAGTTCAACTGGGATCCTTTCTGCAACATTCTCCTTCTCAAGTGGCAGTGGTTGCACGTCTTCAGATAAATCTTCTAGAGGGATCTCTTCAGCTTGTAGAATCACAACTTCTTTTTCTAGAGGAAGACCTTCTAGAGGAACCCCTTCAAGAGATGAAGGCTGAACTTCTGCAGAGGCCTCTTCTGCTGGAGACTTGCCTGATGGAGATAGGACCTCCACTGGGCTTGCCTCAGCTGGTGGAGATGGAGCTTCTGCAGGGATCTCCTCTGCTGGTGGAGATGGAGCTTCTGTAGGGATCTCCTCTGCTGGTAGAAATGGAGCTTCTGCAGGGATCTCCTCTGCTGGTAGAGGTGGAGCGTCTGCAGGGTTTTCCTCAGTT